AACCTCCCCAGTGCCCACTGCTGCGAACAGCCGTTCAGGGTCCACCAATCGCTACACGTCTCCCTCATCTCAGACTGTGGGAACGCACGTGGTGTAGCAGCTGAGAAAACTTCGTCGGAAGTGGGGGTATGACGCTTTTTCAAAAACATTGTTACCTTGGGGCGTTTAACCTAGAAAGGGAAGCAGGAAGATGACGTTCAGATTTGGGGTGCAGAGAACTGGAAGGGTTCCTGGGGTAGTTGTTTTTTGTCTCATGCTTACGAGTTCTCTTCGTCTTTAAGTAACTCCCTGTGTGAGGTCTTCAACAGGCTTGCAGAGCAGGTGGGTGGTGAATAAGCTCCCTGAAGGGTGTGTACTCATATCATTCACTCTTTTAAACAGGGAAGTGTAACAGATGGTGTAGGATGCTTCAGAGAAGTGTTCACGCTTTGGGGTGGGGCGTGTCTTGCCTCCCCCTTGGGAAGAAAGTTGAGGAAATTAACGTGAGGAAAGTAAAACACGCTTCGATATTCCCTACCTTGAGAGAGGGCTGTTCTCCCCCCCGCCCCCAACCTTTTACTCAGTTCCTGTCAAACAATATGCTCAATGTAACCTCTGCAGGCTAATAAACAAAACAGTTCTCATTTCGATGGGCTAGAGGTATTTGGTCAGTTGCTTAAATCTAATCAATATTGTGTTATGATGTTGTCTCCATCAAATCTGTCTTGGATCACTTCCATGCAAAATGTCTAAGAGGGACAACCATGTGTTAGCCAAAGCACTGTTAGGATACTTTCTTAATGATACCTTATTTTTGTATAAAGAAGCTTTGGCTGTTTTTCACTTGATCTCTGTACCCCTTCTGAGATAGGGAAAACAGATATCTTTAAAGATGAAGGAAACAGTTTATTTTCTAAATTACTAACTGCTATTATGCCTCTACAGATCCTTGGTAATGAGTCTGATGTCTTTTATCTTTTCACTAACTGCAACTCTCTTAAAGTGAAGGACAGGACAGCCTTTATTGCATGACACTTCAACACTGTCTCTGTCCAGTGTGTTCTGCCATCTCATTTCCTTTGCCAAGCAAACACATGGATACCTAAAATGTGCTGGGCACAGTGCTAACTGAAATGGATATGTGCTTTAGTATTTGCAAATGGGCCCTAGCTTCAGTTAGGCACATAGGCCAGGAAAAGTAGTTTACATGAGTGAAAGGAAAATTATGGAAGCTTTATGGTCTTCCCCTCTGCCCCCCCTTTCCCCTTTATGTTTTTGAAGTCATTTATTTTATTTTATTCTATTTTTTTGAGTTGGAGTCTCACTCTGTCGCCCAGACTGGAGTGCAGTGGCCACTCCCGGCCACCGCAGCCTCGACCTGCTGGGCTCCGCCGATCCTTCCACCTCAGCCTTCCAAGTAGCCGGAATTACAGGCATGCACTACCATGCCCGGCTGATTTTTTGATTTATTGTAGAGATGAGGTCTCGCTGCCCAGGCGGGTCTCGAACCCGCGGGCTCAGGCAATCCACTCACCTCAGCCTCCCAAAGGCGTGGGATTACAGGCTGAGCCACCGAGCCTCGTTTTTGAAGTCATTTAAAACAAGAAGTGGGAATGAGTTTGACCATATTAAGTCCTTGGAAATATTTGTGAAATTAGGAATTTTTTTTTTTAACTACATTGGAGAGTAAAAATAACCTTCATACTAGAATGAGATTAGACTTATCATTTCTTATCTTTCCCCCCATATTAGTGTTTCATTTTTAATCAAGATTATTCCTTCAACAGTGCTAGATATTAAAAAAACAGTTCCTAACTTCTTTCTTTTTCAGGTCATTCATTTTGGAGGGGAAAGCAGGAAGCCCCAAAAACATATCATTTGTAATGTGTGACTTGAATGCATGTACTATATCAAAAAAAGGCCTCTTCTGTGTACTTTTGCATCTAAAACATAAAATGTTTTTTCTTCCTTTGCCCTTTTGCTCTAATTGGAATGACCTCACACTAAAGATTTCATTCTCTGGTGGAGAGATGTCTCCCTTGGAATTCGAGCTGGAGAATGCTTAATCAATGTAGGCTGAATGACTGTTTGAGACATAAAGTGTGTGTTCCCCCTCCCCAAAGAGAGCTAAAATACTTTCCTGGTATTTCAGTCTAGCAAAACTCAGAGCTAACCCTGCCCACAACAGCGCAAGTCCTAATTACTATTTTAGTTTTGAATTTAAAAGCGAAGCCTTATTGTTTATCCTTGGAAATTATAAACTTTGTATTTCATGGAAAGGCAGCATGGATTAATGTTAATAGTTACTTTCATTCTCTACTGAGCTTTTTTCCTTTTTTTAAGGTAATCTATTGTCAGGTTTCCTGTAGTCATAGTCATTGCTTTTTGTGTTTCCTGAATTTAGACATAGGCATTTCCTAGAGGTACTGAATTTGACATTCACAATTGATTCCAAGGATCATGTCTGAAATAGTTTAGATAAATGTGAATCTACAAAGTACAAGTTACATGAAGTGATATTTTGTTTAGATTCCTTCTCTTAAAGTATTCTGTTAGGTTGGGCACAGTGGCTCATGCCTATAATCCCAGCATTTTGGGAGGTTGAGGTGAAAGGATTGCCTGAGCCCACAGTTTGAGACCAGCCTGGGCAACTTGGTGAGACCTCATCTCTACAATAAGTGAAAAAAAAAAAAAAATGATAAGTCTAATCTCTTGTCAGTAGTTCCACCTACTTGGAAGATGAGGCAGAAGTATTTCCCTGAGCCCAGCAGGTTGAGGCTGCAGTGGCCATGAGCATGCTGCTGCACTCCAGCCAGGGTGATGGAGTGACACTCCAACTCTCCAACTCAAAAAAAAAAGAATTCTGCTAAAAATCTAGTATCATAGACAATTGGTCCTGTTCATGACTGAGGTGGAGACAATGATTAAGTTAAAGAGGGAGATTTTATGAAAAATGCTAAGTTTGAGTCTCATCAACCATAGAGAACAGGGTAAACAATGAAACAAGTCCAAATTCTTCACTGTGGTTTGGAAAGGCCTGTTATATCATGTCTTGGGATGGTAAGTACAGAACTGGATTGAGACAGCATCATTCTGTTACTACTCTTGCCTCCTGATAGCACCCCGTTTGGCATCTAGACAAATTATGTCTTTGTAGATTGACTATTATTAACAAGGAGCTACCTTGTCTCTTATTAAAGTTTGCCTAATACTTCAAAATGTGAAAGTGATGTGTTAAGGTCTTTCATTTACCTATGTTCTTTCATTGTGGCCCCTCTTTTAAACCTGAGCAATTTTTCTAGGTTAAAACTTGGAACCTTAATCTTAAAGAACATTTTTTTCCTTCAGTGTTTCTCAGTTTTAATGATTACGGAGTTGTATATACTTATGACCACTCCTTATCTTATGACTTTCCTGAAAAGTTTAATAAAGAAGAAAAGTTTAGTCTTCTGAAAAGTATTTCCTTATAATATCTTCCCTGCCTCCCTTTTCTTTTCCTAATATATTTTGGAATTAAGCTTTTAATGGTTTCCTCAGGTATGTTTAAGCTTTGTATAATGTTATCAAGATCTTAGTGATATGAGCTTTATCTCTTTGTAGGTCAGATACTAATTTATCTGCTTAATCCTATTTTAGCCACCAAAGTCCTTGGCACTGTCAAATGGTTCAACGTCAGAAATGGATATGGATTTATAAATCGGTATGTGTGTGTATCTACATGTTTTAAATTTATAGTTATGTTGTGGTACCAGCGTTTATAAATCCCTTACCATGCTTTATTAATGGCTTGAATAAATTTTTTAGGTTTCTAAGCACTGGGAATATTCTCATTTCTAAGCTTCCAGTTGTTAAATATTAATTAAAATACATTTTCAGTGCACTAATACATAACTTATTTTATAAAATTTAGTCTTTAGAAGAAAAAAAGGAAGGGGAGATAAAATCAGAAATGGGAAGGGCCTTGGGATAAGTTAGTCCTTATTCATTAGTCCATATTCATGATTCCACAGTTGGAGAAATAGAGTCTTAGACTGGTTAAGCAACTTTCCTAAGGTCACTCAGCTAGTGAGTAATTGAGCTGGATCTGTAACCCCGGTCTGGTCCAAGTCATGTGTAGAAACTGCAGTGTTTTCTTTAAACTATGGTAACTTCCAGCTGTATAGGAATGAGAACACAACTGCAAGCTGCTGGAAGTAATAAGATGTTTCTACATATCTCATCTTTTTTTTTTACTTTTTAACTTTTCCCACCCCTTCTTTCAAAAAGTTCCTCCAATTTCTTCCTTGTTCGTTTTGGTGGGGGGTGGGGGGGAACTGTTTTAAATTTCAGTGTAAGGAGAGCCTAGTTCACAGCTGTGCCCTGTCCTTTTAACTGTCTTGCTTTGCTTTTGCTGGGAGGAAAATCTAAGGCTCTGATTACATACCACGTGACTCAGAAAGAGAGGAAAGGGATGTTACTGTATGTTGAATCTGTATGCTTGCTGTAAGCACTGTGCTAATGTGGAGGAGTAAGGTGGGTATCTTGCAGAGTTAGAAGTTTGTAACAAGGATTGATTCTAGGTGTCTGAATTGAGTTTAGAGGGTAAAGAAAAGTTTATGGTGTGTTTTGAGGTCTTAGGCTCTAAATCTATAATACATTTGCTCTTCTAAGTTTTTCCACATACCTAGCACCTTTAATTGTGAACATTTTGCCTTTTAACAGAAATGACACCAAAGAAGATGTATTTGTACATCAGGTAAGAGGGATTATAAATGTTACATTTGCTGCGTGAGGAGGGTGGTGTAATCTGCTATTGTCCCTTACCCCAAAGTAAGTCCTGTTAATTATTATTTTACTCTAAATTCTCTTTGTGATTTATTTTGGAACAAGAGCTCAAGTCTGCATTTTAAGATTGGCAGATACGTCTTTCTGTTCCATTATATTAACTTTTCAGATAGTCTTATTTCTTTCAGTTGAATGAAGTAATACTCAGTTTAGACCATTTTCTAAATTTTAAAACCTTTGAGCCCTTAGTCCCAGCCCATTTCTGTGTTAGCATCCCATTCTCCATATCTTGTGTTTTCCCTCTTAGTACCTGGCTGGAGCCAATCTGACTTTTACCTTGGTGGGTGTTGGTTACAACTCCTCTCTCATAGCCACTCTCACTTGAAGTAAATAATAGCTCAGAGAAGCAAATGGTAACACATGAGAGAAATCTTCCAGTTCCCAGGATAGCTCTCGCTCCTGTTAAACGAGGCATGATTAGGACACATCAAGGTCAAAAGACCCACATTTTCTTAGATTTAAAGAAGATACAGGAACTGAGTAAGTTATGGAAAACTTGAACTTCTCTCTTCTGGTAGCTCAGTCTTTCTCTGCATTATTAGCCTAGAGTGTTGTTTATTCTATAATTATGTATCCTGGACTTGTTCTACAAAATAGGATAAGAGAAGGAATACCTGTCCTTACCGTTCTTTCTGTATATTTAGTTTTTAGTGAATTGTCTGAAATATAGGTGGTATTCTTAGCATTTAACTATAAGGAAAGTCATGCCACTTACCTTCAGAGCTCTGTCAAGCATGTGGTCTTCTGTGTTTTTGTTTCCTTCTTTTGAAGTTTATGTGTGTATTGGGTGGGGTGTGGGAGCTGGAGACAGTGATATCTAAAAAGAAGCTCGAATTTCTATTTCTAGCTCGGTTTCTATTTCTATTTCTGCTTGACTAGATATATTCCAGTCGTATCTAGATATTTTAGTAGATTTTTGGTCAGATACAGTGACTTTTAAAGTCACTGTATGGAATACTGAATGGAAAGGTTTACAATACCTGGAGCTTAATAGACCTTTTGGGATAAGAAGTCTGTCTGGTGACTGCTAAAGTAAAAGTCCTCACGAGTTTCTGTACTGGTGGCCAGCTTTATTAGCCTGTGAGTTTATGACCCGATTCCAGCCCCCATGAGGTTGTGTGGTGAGTCACCTCAATGTGTTGAGGCTTGCCCAGTTTAACAAGAAAAAGGGAACGAGCCGGTAGGGAGGGGCTGTTTTTGGACTGGCTGAAAGTTCGGGCTGCGTGCGCATATATCCTGTCCTGAGCTGCCTTTTTTCCTCTGTGGGTGAGGTCTCTGCTCTATTGGCTCACTTTTTTTTCCCCCTCCCTCCTACTCAGAGAAGGGGAAGGGCTGGATTACACATGCTTAATCGCTTTATAAAATAAGGTTGACCTAGTTCCATAGAAACTCTGGCCCCTTTAACTGTTTAGAGATACCAGCCAAAGAAATGGAAAATCATTGCAGGAATTATTCTCTGCCTTTCCTTGATTGAAAAAGAGAAAGAGGCACCTACTCATAAGCAGATATTTAGGAACTAATGTTTAATGAAGAATAGCATCTTCATTAACTTCTTAATGTATTATCAGGGAATATGTGGGGATTAATTGACATATGAACGGAGTGATGGAAAAAAAGGTCGAATACCAGATAGAGTACAGGGATATGAATTCCCTCTCTTCCTATTCTCCCAACATCCCTGGGGCAATTAACCATTGTGATCTCAGATAAGTCACTGAAGTGTTAGCTGCTTCCTGTTAACTTAGCCATAAAATGAGAGGGAAGGGCAGGCCAGATTATTACTAAAATTTTTTTATTCTTGGGGTGATTTTACTTACCCGCTCAGAAATACCCCCTTGGCTCTTTAATTTTTTTTCTGTTCTTTTGCCCTCCTCCCCCATTTAAAAAATTTCTGTTGCAGTTAGCAGTTTCTCTTATGTTCAGAAAACTTTGTGTTTGTGTGTGTGCAGTCTCATAAAGGCATTTTCCCCATTGATGGAGCTACAATCTGAATCTCAGAGGCTTATATTTGAGATAACTCATATATCCATCATGACTAGGTGTTCAGTCTGTAACAGCAGTGTGTGGTCACTGCACACACTGTTGCATGATAGAAACACATTTCTTTTTTTTTTTTTCCCCTAAGTCAGAGTCTCACTCTGTTGCCCAGGCTTGATGGCAGTGGCACACTTCTCAGGCCACTACAGCCTCGACCTGCTGGGCTCAGGTGATCCTTCTGCCTAAGCCTTCCAAGTAGCTGGAACTACAGTCATGTGCCACCATGCCCAGCTTATGTTTTGATTTATTGTAGAGACAGGGTCTCACCATGTTGCCCAGGCTGGTTTCGAACTCACGGCTTTGGCAGTCATCTCACCTCAGCCTCCCAAAGTGCTGGGATTATAGGCATGAGTCACCATGCCTGACTGAAACACATTTCTGTTTAATCCACCTCTGAAGATGAATTTTGAAAAATAGCACAACTCAAGAAAGTAATGTAGAAGACAGTGTTTTTGGGAGGGCTGTTTTTGTTTTTTCTCGAGGTAGGATCTCACTCTGTTGCCCAGGATGGAGTATAATGGCATGATCACAGCTCACTGCTGCTTGGACCCGGGCTCAGGCGATCTTCCCTCCTCAGCCTCCTGAGTAGCTGGCACTACAGGAGCATACCACTATTCCTGGATAACTTGTGATTTTTGTAGAGATGAGATGTCATTGTGTTGCCTAGGCTGGAATATAGTTCCTTAGTGTTTATTATTTGTTTGTTTTGTAGACCCAGGTTAGTGAGAAAATAATTTTAAGAAAATAATAAATCAGTTTTATCATGTTCTTTCTAGTAAACTTGAAAGCAGTGAAATCTCTGACCAATATTGAAATACACCTCAAGTAAAACTTTCTGTTCTCTTTGACAGACTGCCATCAAGAAGAATAACCCACGGAAATATCTACGCAGTGTAGGAGATGGAGAAACTGTGGAGTTTGATGTGGTTGAAGGAGAGAAGGTGAGAGAACTATGATTTGTAAGCACTTTTGCTTACAAATAATATACAGTAAAGAACATTTTTTGGTCAGTTGTGGTGGCTTACACCTGTAATCACAGCAGTTAGTTCGGTTAAGGTGGGAGAACTGCTTAAGGCCAAGAGTTTGAGACCAGCTTAGGCAATGAGGTTGAGCAAGACCATGTCTCTACAGAAAATAAAATAAAAGCCAGGCGTGGTGGCACGAGTGCCTATAGTCCCAGCCGTTCAGGAGCTTGGGGTAGAAGGATTGCCTGAGCCTAGGAATTTAAGGCTGTTAGGAGGCGTGATCGCACCACTGCACTCCAGTCTTGGGTGACAGAGTGAGACTTCAGCTCAAAAAAATAAAAGTAATAAAAATATTTTAATCTTGGAGATTCAAATTGAATATAATCATTTTGTTTTCTTTTTGACTTGCACGTGGGAGCTCTGAAGGCATCTTGTTAGACTGTTTAATAACTTTAGTCAGATGAATTTAAAGGAGCTGAGGGATCATCTTGTAGATCATCTATAGAATTTTTTGATGCTGTTATATATATTTAATCCCGTATTAGTAATGTACTTTATGGTTTGTTTTAATCAAGTCTATTAATGATTCAATAAAACAATATTGGCTAAGATTAAAAACACTCTAAAACTGAGTATGGTGCAACTAACTGCCATGGCAGCTGAATTATAAATTAACTGAATGAATGACAGTTAATTCCCCTGCACGTGCTATTCCCACATACATAAACACCATTCTAAGGTCCATATACTTAGCTGCCCTCAAACTGTTCTGTTTGAAAAGAAAAACATTTTAATTTATTTGAGTTAGAAATTTAAATGACTGACAAGTGTGATCCCCAGGGTGTCTTGTAAATCGATTGGAGTTTCAAATCACACACCAGCAAATGATGGCCTGTAGTGGTTTCTGATATCTCATTCGACTCTTTTTTTTTTTTTTTTTTTTTAAGTCTCATTCTGTCGCCCAGGCTGGAGTGCGGTGGCATACTCTCAGCCACCGCAGTCTTGACCTGCTGGGCTCAGGCGATCCTTCTATCTCAGCCTTCCAAGTAGCTGGAACTATAGGCAATGTGCCACCACGCCCAGCTAATTTTTCTTGATTTGTTGTAGAGATGAAGTCTTACCAAGTTGTCTTGGCTGCTCTTCAACCCCTGGGCTCAGGCAATCCTCTCACCTTGGCCTCCCAAAGTGCCGGGATTATAGGTGTGAGCCACCACTCCCAGCCCCCATCCAAGTCTTACAGATTTGTTTTGCCATGTTGATTTTACTTCTACAAGTTTTCAGAACTTGAGGCATTATAAATTGATGTAAAGTGTGAAATAGACTCTCTTGAAACTCGTTTTTCCCATCTCTTTTATATTTTGGAAGCGTTATCCATTTGTCCATGTAATTATTATTAGAAATTCTAAATGTGTTTCAAGGATGATAGGAATGTCTAAAGAGGGACTACATGTGTGGAGATTTTGTGTGTCCTTCAAGCAAGGACCCCAGGCCTGGCTCGGTGGCTCAGCCTGTAATCCTGCGCTTTGGGAAGCCAAGGTGAGTGAATTGCCTGAGCCCGTGGGTTCAAGACCCGCCTGGCCAACTTGGCGAGACCTCATCTCTACGGTAAATAAAAAAAATTAGCTGGGCATGGTAGGGCGTGCCTGTAGTTCGTTCCAGCTACTCAGAAGGCTGAGGCGGAAGGATCCCCGGAGCCCAGCAGGTTGAGGCTGTGGTGACCGGGAGCATGCCACTGCACTCCAGTCTGGGTGACAGAGTGAGACTCCAACTCAAAAAAAAAAAAAAAAAAAAAAAAAAAAAAGCAAGGACCCTTTCTTGTTGCTGCCAAGATGGGATACGTTTCACTCTCAATAACTCAGTGCTAGACAGAGCCAAGTAAGCCCATGAGGAGGGATTCTATTAGAGTAACATAGGTTTCCACATTTTATGGGAAGATAGAAGTACTCAGTTAATTTCCATTGATAAATATCTTCCCGCTCTATTATTACTTCTAATTTTCAGTTATGTTATATTTACTAGTTGATGTTCTTTAAAGAGGTGTATATTGCCGGATGTGGTGGCTCATGCTTGTAATCCCAGCACTTTGGGAGGTAGAGGTGAGAGGATTGCCTGAGTTAATTTGAAGAAATTAGCCAGGCATGGTGGCGCATGCCTCTGGTTCCAGCTACTTGGAAGACTGAGGGGGAAGGATCACTTGAGCCCAGCACGTCAAGGCTGTGGTGGCCATGATCATGCCACTGTATTCCAGTCTGGGTGATGACAGAGTGAGACGCCAATTCAAAAAAAAAAAAGATGTATATTTCTCTTGCACCTGAGATAACAAGACAAGAAAGCAAAGCTTAGGTTGTTTGCGCAAACAAGCTATATATGTTTAAATGAGGACATTACCTTGCTCACCTTGTTAAAACTTTGGAGATCACAGTAGAAATTCTTAGTACATTCTCTCCTAGTCGTACATGCTGTCTTGCCCAAAGCTGTTTTTTGGGTTTATGTTCTTTTTAATTTTGAGAGCCCTTTGTTTATTTTATTTCTCAGGGTGCAGAAGCAGCCAACGTGACTGGCCCAGATGGAGTTCCTGTAGAAGGGAGTCGTTATGCTGCTGATCGACGCCGTTACCGACGTGGCTACTATGGCAGGCGCCGTGGCCCTCCTCGGAATGTACGTGTGTCTGTTACTAATCAGTGATTGAAAAATTCTTCACGTCTAGAGTGAAGTCTGTGTACTTGGAACAGACAAATGCCGTCTTCTGGAGATTGGACAAGTGACTTTTTGTTTTGTTTTGAGTAGGGTGTTTTAGTGCTTAGAATATATACATAGCCACTGGTCTCATTGGAAGTTTACTGTTCACAAATTTTATCAGGATGTATTTGGCTGCAAGTAACAGACATTTAATGATCTTGTAGCAAGAAGACTTATTTAAGGTAGGCAGTGCTGTGTTTGTCAAAGAGGCTTTCTCTTCATTGGTTCTTTTGTCTGGCTAGCATCTAGTCATGTGGTGTTCACTGGCAAAGGGAAATGGAATTTCTGTCATTAACTTAAACCTGTTGTTCATTCCTTGGTGTTGACATTGCTGACCTCTAAGAGAATCAGCATTTGGTTGGTGAGAAAGAATGGGGAATAGCTTGTGAATAGGCAGTAAAATGCTGGCCACAAAAGTAATTATTTGCCTTGATCACTTAGCTATTTTACTTAGTATAGCACTTTCCAATACTTCAAAGTTAAGAAGCAGTAATTCTCTGGATTTTTAGTTCTTTAGGTTGGTCCTAATGTAGGTGAAAGTTTACAAGCAAATCTGGCTGCCGCTGTCTTAGGTGGCTCAGTTCAAGGGAATATTCTCAAGGCATCCAAAATGAATGCAGTGCATTTATGGTCATGAGGACCTTGTTAGATTTTTGTTATTTCCTGAATAAGAATCAGGGATTGACACCATAGAATAAAACTCAGGTTGCTTTGTGAGTGCAGGAAGAAGTGTGATAAATCTCAGCAGAATTAAATACCTGCAGACTGAGAATTATATATGTCTACACTTTGATAGGTTTACATCTTTCTGCTTGTCTAAATGCTTCTCCTCTTTATTCTTTCATTTTCATATCCCCCTAAATTAGGTTATCAGATTCCTCAGGACCTCTCATCTGTTTCTGTATTTTTCTTACTTTTGTTTTCACTTATCCTATTTGATATTGAATAAGCTATGTGAGGGGCAGAGTCAGGGAAGAGCTACTGTAGTATTTAATATAGATCATGTTAACTCTTAAGTTCTTCACATTCACAGAGCTCTGGCTGTGGTTATTTTGACCCCTAGGTTAATTCAGAAGTAAAAGTGGTAGAAGAATCTTCAGTGACAATTTTTCTGGACTTTCCCTGTTAAAAGCTAGAAATGCTAAAGTCATGCATATGAAAGATATTTATAAATAAAATGATCAAAACTCAATAAATGAAGGTTTTCTGTGTAATATCTGAGTCCTGACAGCTTGCTACTCAGTATCTCTCAAAGGAGTAGGTTCAGCAGTGGTGGTACCATTATTATTGTTTTGTAACGCCCTTAATGAAACATTTGGCTATATAAAACTGAAAAGATAAAGACAAACCTTAAGATAGAAAGACAGTTTATATAGTCTCACACTGGCGATTTTGGTGGCATTTTTTATGAAAGTAAATACTTGCATAATTACAAATCATCTTGTTATAGATTTTATGAAGAGTAATGGTTTCCTTTGTCTGAAAGGAGACTAGTTGAGGCTTTTCCATTTTGAGAGTTGCATATGTGCTTGCTCTGGATGGGTCTAGAGCTTAAGAAATAAATGGGTCATTTTGTTAGTTTTTGTAATTTAAGTACAGAAAAATATAAAATGAGTGAGTAATTCCCTTTGTTAATCATTTCTGTATTTAGAAACTACCAGTTTTTAAGACTTATTACTATCAAAATACAATTAAAGACTTTATTCCTAAACATAGAAAGGTCAGTTTTTGCCACAGGTCAGTTTTTGGTCCATTTATATGCACATAATCATTGAGGATCCTAGAGTTTTTGTGTGTTTATACCTATTAATGTTGTATTATAAATTAAATTTAAAATATATTTAAAGTAACTCATAGCATGTTAACATAAATATTATAGTTTCTGAGTTGGAGTCTCACTCTATCGCCCAGGCTGAAGTGCAGTGGAATGCTTATGGCCATTGCAGCCTTGACCTATTGGGCTCAGGCGATCCTTCTGCCTCAGCCTTCCAAGTAGCTGGAACTACAGGTGCATGCCACCATGCCTGGCTAATATTTTGATTTGTTATAGAGATGAGGTCTCACCGAGTTGCCCAGGCTGGCTTCAAACCCCTGGGCTCAGGCAGTCCTCTTGACTCAGCTTCCCAAAGTGCCGGGATTACAGGCATGAGCCAGTGCATCCAGCTTAAATAACATTTTTTATGAAAAAACTATTTAAACTGAGTGAGAAAATGGCATTGCTTTACACTTTTGCAAATCTCTTTTGATGTGTGGTTTAATAGATGATAGCTGGATTCTTATATCTGTTTTTGCATTCAGTCTATTGAGACATCACACGTCATTTAAGAGAGAATGGGGATAAGGGCAGAGGCAGATAGCATCTTAGTAACATCATGGGAAAGTTTGACAGTGTTGACTCCACTGGAAGATTGCAGAGACTACACCTACACATTGAGGACTGCTGAAGGAAGTATACCATTTAGGTCAAATGTGTTGACAACATAATAAAAAGTATTCTTTTTTACTTTGTCCTAATTTTGTCCCAATGGATGGTAAATGTTGGAAGACATACATTTGACAGAGCTAAATATTATAAACCTTGTAAATATTCTTTGGGTGGTTGGTCAGCTGATGTGATTCACTAATTCTACTTAGATGACTGTTAAATTCATGATATAGATTGATTGCTCTTGCTTTTCTGCTTCTTGGTATTTTATCGCACAGAACTATTCTAATCTTAATGTAGCTTATCCCAGGTAATCACATGATAATCTGGGTTAAATGCATTTTGTCTGTATGACAGAAGGGATTATTGCTTTGGGGAGAATTTTTTCTTTTGGTGATAATTTATCCTAAATGGTGTTCTTGGTTCTTTGCTTGCTGAAACTTCTTCTGAATCTTTGTTTCTTTGCTTCGCTAGTACGCTGGGGAGGAGGAGGAGGAAGGGAGCGGCAGCAGTGAAGGATTTGAGCCCCCTGCCACTGACGGGCAGTTCTCTGGGGCCCGGAATCAGCTGCGCCGCCCCCAGTATCGCCCTCAGTACCGGCAGCGGCGGTTCCCGCCTTACCACGTGGGACAGACCTTTGACCGTCGCTCACGGGTCTTTCCCCATCCCAACAGAATGCAGGTAAAATTGCACCTGGGACTTCTCTTCAGCAATCCTCAAACCCTTCCATCCTTCTCTGCCTTCTCTTCCTCCTCCTCCTCCTCCAACACCAGCTGCCGGAAATAAAACCTTGCTTGTGCTTCCCGATGCTACAAAAGCTGAGGCAAGGCCTTTGGTGGTCTGCTTTTTCAGAACAGTCATTCTAGTAACATTTCTGAAAGCATAGCATGAGCCATGCCTGTAATAGGGTCCTTGGTGGCTAGGATAAAGTTTCTAACTTATAGAAGAATTAAATAAGGTAGAGTGACAGATGGTATGTGATGTGTCAGAGCCTGGACTCTGAAGTCAGACAAAGCCTTGATTTAAATCATGTTTCACTTATTTGTGAGATCTTGAGAAAACCAAATTTTAGAGAGATTAAATTTATCCCATAAAATGAGGGTATTAAATGCCTGCACCATAAGGTTTTGACAATTAAATGTAAAGAGTTTAGTGTACTGCCTGCAGCATAGATAACATTTATAAAGTACTAGATTTAGGTGAAAGTGACGCTGATTTTTAAAGGCTGATTTTTAAAGGCATCCTGGCCCGTGTGGTGGTTCACGCCCATAATCCCAGCACTTTGGGAGGCTGATGTGAGAGGATTGACTGAACCTGCAGGTTCGAGACCAGCCTGGGCAACTTGGCAAGACCTCATCTCTACAATAAACCAAAAAATTAGCTGAGCGTGGTGGTGCTTGCCTGTAATTCCAGCTACTTAGAAGACTGAGGCGAAAGGATTGCCTGAGCCCAGCAGGTCTAGGCGCGATGACCAGGAGTATGCCACTGCCCTCCAGCCTGGGTGACAGAGTGAGACTCCAGCTCAAAAAGTAAATAAATACAGGCATCCTAACATAGAATGGAGATTGTTGATTATTGATTCTCCTTTTTTGCTGTAAAACATTAATACAGCTGTTGTGAATTTGCTCTGTGATTACTAAACCTTACATCGACTTTACAATTCCCAGGAAACTTAGAACTAGGCACAGGCCATCGTCTTTTGTTACCACCGCCTACAACTTATTCCTCCTTGGTGTCCTCGGGGTTTCGTTTTTTCCTCACTAAATGTTTTGACTGAACATTATGTTCAGTCTGTTCTTTGCTACCCTTCTCCTATCCCTTCATGCATGACTGTGTTCTTTCTTGTTTTTCCCCTTGTACTCTTCAGCAGCGGCCCCTGACAAATGTGCTAAAAAGAACAAGTAGACATACATATATGGAGAGATATTGGGTACAGGAGGCGTAGTAGGTTTCTTCAGGGCAACCCTCTGGGCTTCTAGGAAATGAGGACAGAAAAGTGAGATTATAATGCATGTTTATTTTTAGTGCCTTACTAGTGCTTTCCTGAAATACTCATTCTTAATATTTGGCAGATACGTATATGTAACATTTGCTGAGAGCATGATGATTCTTCTCCCTTTTGAACTAAAGTATATTTCACCTTAGGAATTGAAGTTTCGGAGCAAAGTGTTCCTTAAGGCTATGTGGAACATTTGCAGAAGCTAGCTGAACACTAATTTTGAACATATATGCTTATTCTCATAACTTTACTGTGTTTAGTTGCTTTTATTACAGTCTGACTTTCTTGCCCATTCCACGTCACAAGTCTAAGTTGCCTTTGATCCTTTCAATAGATTTTTCTTTTTTTTTTTTAGAATCTTTCTAAAACATACCGTGTTTGGGTATGTGACTAAGAGGTCTGATTACATACCATGTTTCAGTGACTAAGAGGTCTGATTAAGCCAGTTCACAGCATCAAGTGAAATTTCCTAAGGTTCTCTTTGTATAACTAAGCTGCTTCAAGGTTGTCAGTGTAATGTCTTAAAAGTATAGATGAATCTCTAGGATGGTAAACATTGAGAGCAAGTAAAGTCTTTCCAACATTATCTGTTAGTATAACACTATGAAATTTATTATACACAGTGGGGAAAAAATAATAATATATAGGCCAGTTGTATTTGCCTGATACGCTAAGGATATAGTGGAACCTGATTTATTGATGACTGAATGACTTCCATTTTTTTGTAAGCTAATAGTTCCCAATATTTGAAAATTAAGTAGAATCAGTCACTGAGCTAATATCTGTGTCTTTGAGGAAAGATTTACTGTATGTGATGGAGGGAAGGGAGCACCATTTTGTGGCATCCACCGAGGGACAGATGTTTGAAATTAGTTCTTATTCAGTCTTCTCTACAACCTTATGGAAGCAGTACTTTCTATATATTTTGTTGTCATAAACGAAGGGATTTGGGTATTTTTTAAAATAGCAAACTCTTACATAAGGTTACATGGGCAAGGAGTGGTAAAACTTGATGTTAATTCAGTCTGTCGGTGCTCCTCTTCATTCTGTCACTCTAGCGGACTCTTATCCTTTACACGTGTTGATTGCTGTTCTTGCCTGTCTTTTTTTTGTGAATCAAAGTTTCTGAAAAAGAAGTGGTCTAGCTTGTTTAGGAAACTAAAGGGAGGCTTCTGTGATTGGGATGGTTGTGAATAGAGGTGAGAATAGGGTGAGATCTTAGGGGAGATCAGATGCTATTGGTAGACCACCAAGAGGACTTCTCACCTACTGTAAATGTGGATTTGAACAGAGAAGAAACACTTCAGAGATTATTATACTGTTTTATTGAGACTACCTCACAGAGGGCAGGAGAATTAGAGAGATCAGCTACTGTTTCTCAGTAGAGAAGTGAGTGGGGGTTGGAAGGTCTGATCAAGTGATCAGATTTGGAAGATATTTTAAGTATAGAGCTGGCAGCATTTGATGATGGAGTGAATATGTGGTGTGAAGAGTAAATAATACCTCTGTGGTTTTTTATTTAAACAAATTGGGGAAATTGAAGAAAGATTGGGTTTGGGAGGAGGGGTGAAAATTCTCCCAAGTTCTTTTACCCACCTTAAAATTCACCTACAAATGGAGATGTCACATAGGCAGGAAAATAAAATAAGCAGTGTCAAGAGGAAGACAGTGGTTGGAGGAAGAGAAGTAGACAGTGACTGGAGGCAGAAAGGTATAGTTTTGGATGAGGTGGTTGACAAAGTGTCTAGGGGCTCATTAAGTGCCCTTTGAGAAGGGAGCAAGGAAACAAGTTCTTCAGGCACCAAGAGGGGGCATGGATATCCAAGAAAAAGGCACAGATAAAGACCAAAGGGAGTTTTGAGGGGAGAAATGAGACTGAAGATAGGATTTTTAGAGTCATAAAACAGGATATTTAAAGCCATAGGGCTAAGATGAAATTAACTATAAGATAGCATAGGTGGAAATACAAGAGAGGACACCACAAAAAACCCAGAATTTATTTATTAAAAAAATTTATTTATTCTTACGTGTTTAAACTTCAGTCACCTTCAAGGTACTCTCCGTTTGATGAAATAACACCTGTCAAAGATGCTTTTTCCAGTGCTCAAAACAGTTTTGAACTTGTCAGTTTTGATGCCTTTTTAGTGCTTCTGCCATTTTTTGTTTCCCCTCTTCCACATCAGCAAGTGTTTCCCTTTGAGGAATGTTTTCATCTGGGGAAATTAAAAAAAAGAAAGTCACTCAGGGCAAGTTGAATAGGGAGGTAGGGCCTGGGTGGGGATCATGCTGTTTTTGGTCAAAAACTGTTGAACACTGCACGGTATGGGCAGGTATGATTGTAAACCACCCATCATGAAATGGGTAAACGCATTGAAAGAATCTCCAAAAAATTAAGACCAAATGGCAGCCTCTCACAACAACGCTAGCTGATACACTGATGCTGATGTGTTACTAGAACACTTACCTAGCAGGGGAAGCCTGTACTACAAGGGGCCCACCCTCCAAAAAATAACTCCAGGGTTTTTTTGGGGGTCCCTCCTTTTATGATCCTGAGTTCTAGGGCACAGCAGCAGTTGATGATGAGGAAGATAAGGATTATCTACAAAGGACAATGAGAAGGACCAGCTGTATTTCAAGAAGAAAATATTGTGTTAAATGCCGTTGATAGAGAGAATTAAGCTGAGAATTGATTATTGGGTTTGATGAAGAATCAGAAGTTTGATTAGAATGAATTTAAGAGACAGCAAAGGGTGGGAAAAGGAGATCTACCCTGTTGAGGAACTTTCCATGGTGGTTAGAGTAGTGAGTGTTTTTCTGTATAAAGGGGCTCAAAGAAATAGAGTGATAGCTGGAGGAGGTATGGGGTCAGGGCAAGGTTTTTGTTTGATTTGCTTTTTACAATGGTGGGTTTCCCCTGATCTCCCTTACACCTTAGCTCGCCAACAACTTCTAAAGCCATTAGGAGTAGCAGATCAAGGTAGGCATGCATATTTGCTATATACATACATAGACATGTGTATGCATGTAACATGTAGTATGTGTGTCTGTGTGTGTGTTCCTCAGTTCTGTCTACAAAAATGTCTTGAAAGCAGTGACAACTTCCATAATAGCATTGAGCATACCTGCCTTCCCAATTTTTTTAAAAAATAACATCTTCTAATAAAATGAAGCTCCTTTGGTGAAATAGCTGATTTCAGAGCTGGGAGAGAAAGAGTACACTGTGAGCCTGGAACATCTTGTTGTGCCAGAAAGCAAGGAAGTACTCAAAGAATGTTGGAAATGTGCCAAAAGGACGTGAGCCAGTCTGAAGGGATTCCCATTGGCCAGTAATGATAGTAACAGATTATAACTCATTGAATAAGATAGAAAACCATGCGTCTATGAAGATATAAATAAATAAATGAGTGTATTGAAAAATGTGTTGAGGAACAGAGTACTTACCCACTTTGAAAGCACTCTCCTCATAAAGTGCTGATTAATTGCAAAGAAGGAAAGTGTTAACTTGTAGTGGAGGACCATTGCAGACACCACCTTAACCACTTTTCCAAGTGCACACTGTCATTACTGGTAAAGATGGAAACTATATGCTAACTAACAGAATGCATATAGTGAGACTGGAGCGTGGTGGCTCACTCTTGTGGCTTCCCTCTCAAAGGTGCATAAACTAAATTTCATCATTAGGAAGTACCAGTCAGCCCAAATTGAGGAATAGCTTACAAAATAACTAGCTTGTAATTTTTTAAAGTGTCAAGGTCATGAGAACCAAATAAAGAGTAAAGAATTGTTCCAGACAAAAAGAGATTAACTTAATTCAGTGCATTATCTCTGGTGGTCTTTTTGCTATAAAAGAGCATCCTTGGGACAAATGAAGAAACTTGAATGAGGTCTGAAGATTAGATTCTGTCCTTCCAAATTTTTTTGTTGGTGATTATTTCAAAATGTTAAAAAAGATGGTTGCTATTTCACCATGTTTACATGCTTGAATGGAAATGATAGATAAGAGAAGGAAAAAAATACACAATGAAGGAGAGAACAGAGGTATAGAGTAATATGTTTTTGCTAAGAATAGAGGGGCTGGTTTTGGATATTAGCATAGACCACTTATTCAGTGTAATGGGAGAGAAGAAAATTAATGTGAATATAAGCTGGTTGGTAGATTTGATAGAGAATGTAAAAATTGTCTTCTGATTTTTTTTTCTTTTTTTTTGAGTTGAGGTCTCACTCTATTGACCAGGCTGGAGTGCAGTGACACAATCATGGCTCACTTGCAGCCTTGAGCTCCTGACCTCAGCCTTTCAAATAGCTGAAACTACAAGCGTGTGCCACCACGCCCAGCTAATTTTTCTTGATTTATTATAGAGATGAGGTCTCACCAAGTTGCCCGGGCTCGAACCTGTGGACTCAGGCAATCCTCTCACTTCTGCCTCCCAAAGTGCTGGGATTATAGTAGGTGTGAGCCACTGCGTCCAGCCTTTAATTTTTTTATTATTCTGGGGATAGTTAGAGATAAGATCTCACAGTGTTCCCCAGACTGGGCTCAAACTCCTAGGCTCAAGTGATCCTCCTGCCTCAGCCTCCCAAAATGTTAGGATTGCAGGCATAAGCCATCACACTTTACTTATTTCTCTTTTCTTGGTGAAATATGAAGGACGGTATTTGGCTCTGAAGGAAGAGGAAGGGATATTAGTTCTTTGAGAAAAGAAAGTTGAGATATGTCTGTATGGTAAAAAATTTCAGAAGTTATTGGTGGGTTTTTTTGTTTTGTTTTGTTTTGTTTTCAGTCCTGGAAGTTGTATGATTTAATTTTATTCCTCTAGCTTAAAACAAGTTTATTGTATGTTTTATTTTCATAAATTTTAATGTTTCAAGAATGCGAGCAGATAAAAGGGAAAAAAGGTGAAAGGAAGAAATCAGGTATGATTAGCCTGGTTAAAATTGGGATACAGCTAAGTGTGATGGCTCATACCTGTAATCCCAGCACTTTGGGAGGTGGAGGAGGTGAGAGGATCGTCTGAGCCCAGGGGTTCGAGACTAGCCTAGGCAACTTGGTGAGACCTCATCTCTACAATAAATCAAAAAATTAGCCAGGTGTGGTGGCACATACCTGTGGTTCCAGCTACTTGGAAGACTGAGGCAGAAGGATCACCTGAGTACAGCAGGTTGAGGCTGCAGTGACTGAGGCTACAGTGACTGTTAGCATGCAACTGCACTTCAACCTGGGGGATAGAGGCCGAAAGCAAACCAAAACCAAAAAAAAAAAATTGGATACAACTTGTCATAGCGAAATGGGAGAGAACCATTGTAGAAAACGTTAATCATATTGAATTTCCTTTTGTAAAATAGGTTTTCTTTAAAGAGATGAATGAAGTGTGTCAGATTTCAAAATGTTAAATTAATATGGTAAAATAAAGTTAGGTGCTCTGGGATAAGGCAAACAACTCTTGGTTGGATTTTTTTTCTTCTTTTTCAGAGATTCACAAAGTTCTACTCAATCAATAGTTCACGGTTAGAGCTGAGAGTGCCTAGCTTTGTAATGAAGCATTTTATTTTTTACTTTCTAAAAAAGGTTTGAACACAGCTCTCTGCCCTGTATCTTACACCCTGTGCCATGATGCTCTGATTGCCTCCTAGGCTGGTGAGATTGGAGAGATGAAGGATGGAGTCCCAGAGGGAGCACAGCTTCCAGGACCAGTTCATCGAAATCCAACTTACCGCCCAAGGTACCGTAGTAGGTATGTAACATTTTTCACTAATGGCCAATTGAAGGACATGTGAACAACAGTAGAATTAAGTTACTATGATTCTGTCTTATGGATTTATTATGCAGTTAGAAGATGAGCTTGCTTTTGACTATATGCTCTAGTTTTCAGGTAGTAGTGTGGCATTTCTCCTCACTTGAGTAACTAGAATTTGTTCCAAAGCATTATTTGGTGTTCTGGAGCTACCATCTGATATAAATTAATTCTTAATTTTTATTTAAGATAACTCAGATATACAGAAGTTGTTGGTAGTTCATTGGTAGTGCTGCAAATGGAGGGAGAATTGAGTGTAAGAGGGTATTTGGGATATGCACTTTTTTAATCATTGAGGTAGTTCAGTAGAAGGGTTAAATCAAGCTATGGATCAAATTGCCTGAATTTAACTTCCCTCTTTACAGTATGGTAGCTGTATATTCTCGGGCAAATTTTTGGATTCTTCAGCATTGGTCACCAGGTCTATAAAATGGACATTAAGAAATGTTCTACAGATGCCAGTAGGATTAAATGGGCTATGCATCTAAGATAATTAGTATGGTGCCTGGCAATAGGTATTAGATATTATTACCACCAGGGATGTTAATGTTGGAGCAGGGTGGGTTATTTGTGTTTCATCCTTTGTGAAGATTGAGTTGGCCTAGACTCCCTAAGATCCTTTTGAAGCTTTTTAAACTATAAGCCTGCCTGTTGCTTTACCTTATCCTTGAAGTAAGTGGAAAAAGTAAAATTCCTTCTTTAATGACTTTGAAACTTGTCAGTAGGGAGAATAATATTACATTGGGAAAGGATTTGTACTAGTCTGTGTCCTTTTTCCTTACAAGATTCAATTTTAGGCCTAATCACTAAAGATTAAGTACTAGAGACTTTCAAAATAAGAGACTTCATAAAAATGCCTTAGTAAAACAGAAAGGTGACAGTGGTTTATGTGAAGGCCAGCTTTGTCAGTCCCCTGGCTATGTGATCTTGGGAACATCATCTTTGACATTTTTTGACTTATTAAAAACTACTTCAAGATTATTCAGTCGCATACTTTATTGCCTCTAAATCTCTTGGTTTTCTCATTATAAATTTAACCCATAGAATTACTACAGAAATTAAATATTTAATGTGAAAATATGGTAGCACAGACTCTGGCACATAGTGACGTATGCTTTCTTCCCATGTTTAATCCCTTTGGTCTCCATTAAACTCTGTTCATGTAGGGTTGATACCAATCCGCTTTTTTTCCCTCCAATTCTTAGTGCCTATCAATGGCCTGGTAGGAACATAGTATGTGTTTAGTTTTCGTTTGTTCGCTACAATTATTTATTCAAATGAAAGGGGGAAATGATGGAAAAATAAGAGTTTGTTTTTTCCACAAACCTTTGTTCCATTTGCTGCATTGGTCTGTGAATACTTCTAGCCATAAACACTGATCACTTGACCTTTTTAAATAAAACCTAGCCCGTGGGGTGGCACAAGCCTATAATCTCAGCACTCTGGGAGGCCAAGGTGAGGGGATTACCTGAGCCCATGGGTTTGAGACCAGCCCGGGCAACTTGGCGAGACTTCGTCTCTACAATAAATAAATAAAAAATAAATAAAAATAAAACCCTATATTTTTGAGAGTCCCTGCCCCGTGGCACTTCATTTTTTGTTCTGTGTTGCCTACTGTAGGGGACCTCCTCGCCCAAGACCTGCCCCAGCTGTTGGAGAGGCTGAAGATAAAGAGAATCAACAGGCGGCCAATGGTCCAAACCAGCCATCTGCTCGCCGTGGATACCGGCGTCCCTACAACTATCGGCGTCGCTCCCGTCCTTCTAATGCTCCCTCACAAGATGGCAAAGAGGTATATTCAACTAATCAGAGAGAATGTTTCCAGATCATCTTTAATCGTGTCACACTTCAGCATTCTAAAAGTGATTTTATTATATGATAACCCAATGCTTAACAAAAGTAACACTTTGCTTAAGATTGATGGACACATGCAGATACATAAACATATACAAATACATAGATATGTACATAGGGTATACCCTGCACGTAACACAGACGAAATATCTGAATTCAACTAGTTAACATTCTCTCAAAGAATTACCCATACCAATCTGGATTCAGAGCTAAACATTTAGGGCTCTCCAAATAAAGGGGGACAGTATTTGTAGAGAGGACTAAGCATGAGTTGAAAGCAATTGTACATCATAGACTTTACGGAGAATAGTGGTATTCAGTTGCCATTTGGAAGCCACTCTTCTGGGTACTAATTGTTTTTTGTGGTTTTTTTTTTTTTTTTTTTTGGTGGAGATATTTAGGTTTGGATGTGGTTGGTACTAACTTTTGACTTATATAAATAGTTAAATTTTTGCCTTGTGACTTTCCTTTATAGGCAGGAAAATCTTAACTTTGAGAACTTCTAGTCTGGAACTTTTCACTGTCATCTGACTTGATTTATTTCTGGTTTGTGTTTTTGTTTTGTGTTTTAGACCAAGGCAGGTGAAGCACCAACTGAGAACCCTGCTCCAGCCACCGAGCACAGCAGTGCTGAGTAACACCAGGCTCCCCAGGCACCTTCACCATCAGCAGGTAAGAGCTTGGGCAGCCCAGTCTTGAATTGCTATTTTACTTTAACTATTGCTGGTTTCCCAACAGTAGGTCAAATTCTCTAACTAGTTCTGCAATTCATCTCTCTCTCCATTATCTCCATTGGGACCCTGGGAGTAAAGTGGCTTTGGTGGTTAAATATCTCTGGGATTGACCTTATCTTGATAAGCTTTGGGAGGAGTATGAACATTCAGAGTTTGATGATAGCCAACTTCTTTTTTCTAGAAAAGCAATTTTTAACTACCACGTGAGAAAACTGATGTTTCACTTTTGTGGCACCTAGTGGCCAATTTGAGATATTTTTAAGTCCCTAACAGAGGCCTATTTTTAATAATAGGAGACTGTTAATCTGTAGAATAAAATAGATTTTTTTTCTTTCCCTTTTTCTTTGATAATTTTATTTATCTTGAGGCAGTACAGTATAATGAGTAAGAGCCAAGAAAAGTTTATATCGCCATTGCAGGCTCTACTGCAGCTCTCATTTGCTAGGTGGTCTTGAGTAAATTATTTGTCTTGTTTCTCAGTAATGTCTGCTACTGGTAAAATGGGAATACTAATTATCCTTACCTACTAGGGTTTGTGTTATCAAGTGATATAACATACATGAAGTGCTTAGAATAGAGCATGGTAAAGAATAACCTCTCAAAAATGGTTAACTTGGTGTTTTCATCATTGTTGTTTCTTTTCTATCTTTTAAAGATCTTGGATATTTTATTTATAGAGCTAGAAAGACCAACCCAATTACAGAGCCAGTCTTAAGAGTTTATATGCAACAATTGACTTTGTTCTGGGTTTACCTAGCACCCTTTTAACTGAGACTTTGTTTTGTTATATCTCGGTTGTTGGTCTTTCCATTAGCTTTTAGTTAAAAGAGAACTTGTAAAACTTATAATGTCGATGTTATTTTTCAGAAAATTGTTACAATTTCGTAATGAAGTTTGGGGATTATTTTAAGTTCCTGCATTGCAATGCTAGCTGCTTTTTTTTTTTTTTTTTTTGAGTTGGAGTCTCACTCTGTCGCCCAGACTGGAGTGCAGTGGCCGCTCCCGGCCACCGCAGCCTCGACCTGCTGGGCTCCGGCGATCCTTCCGCCTCAGCCTTCCGAGTAGCCAGAATTACAGGCATGCGCTACCATGCCCGGCTGATTTTTTGATTTATTGTAGAGATGAGGTCTCACTGCCCAGGCGGGTCTCGAACCCGCGGACTCAGGCAATCCACTCACCTCAGCCTCCCAAAGGCGCGGGATTACAGGCTGAGCCACTGAGCCCGGCTTCTAGCTGCTTTTATATAAAGTGATTTGTGATTTAAATCAGCTTAGGTAGACATTTGCTATCAGAGCAATATTGTATCTTTGGGTAGCATGGATAATTTATCCTAGAAATAAATTACCTGTTCAAACTTGGCACTTACTGACATAGAGATATATATTAATCTTATAAAGATGGCCATAGCCTTTACTGAGTAACATTATTTCTGGGTCTTGTTTCTAAGGAAATAGTTCAAAATAAGGGGAAAAATATTTCTACTGGATGCAACCACTAAAATGGTTATGAAGACTTATTGATCATATGCTATTATTTATTTGTAAGGCCTCATGATTGTAATTTTTTAATACAGTTTTATAAAAAACTTTTATGTACCAACTTTTCTGGTTTTTGAAAACACCTTATGAAAAAGTGAGAGTTTTCATTAAATTAACATATAATTTACAAATCTGTACAAGATGTGAATTTACTTAGAATATTTGAAATACTGTTTTTTGAATTATATGAAAGACAAATAACTTTTGCCTTTTTATTCTTTAATTCTTGGTCATTTTGTCACTGTAAGTTTGATTTTAATTTTTTCCAGGTGACCTAAAGAATTAATGACAAATAAAGCAAAAAGCAGACCTTACCAACACCAAAGAAACATTCAAGCAATAAAGTGGAAGACTAACCAAGATTTGGACATTAGGATGTTTACTATTATTCTTTAAAGAAACTAACAACTGCAAAAAAAAAAATGTCAGCAAATTTTTCCAGCAAGTTGAGAAGCCAGGAATGCCTGCACAGAAGACAAGAGAGCAACCTCCTCCCCACTTTCAGCAACTACTAGGTTTATATTTTTTTTCCTGGTTTTTACTGTTTTGGTAATAATAATTGAAAGAAGAAATATTAATACCACATGGGGAGAACCTCAACCAAAGAAATCTAAAATATATAGTAAATGCTTATTTTTTTCTTTTTTGTTCATTTTGGATGCTGGTGCTAAACTTCCAAAGGTCGTAATTTAAAAGAAATTTTATACCCTTATTTATTTCTAGGATGAGGGGAGGATAACATTTTTGCTTTCTTATGTGACTCTCTTTGAAAATGTGCAGTAAGAATTTTCTCAAAAATAAAAATTTTTACCCTTCAAAGGAAAAGATGTGTAATTGTAGTATATATTTTTGTCTTAGTATATGTTTTGTCTTTTCTCCCCACTTTATTCACTTGACTTGATTAATATAAATTCAAAGCCCATGTAAAGGTTAATTAGTACTATTTAATACATTTAGGCATATGAGTTTGAGATTATAGAAAATTGAAATTCTTTTAAAATGTACAACTTGGAAATTAACAAGTTCATGTCTCAGTTCGGTAGTAGCCTTTAAGTGTTTGGAATCTCTCTCTTTTTGAGTAATCTTCATTGAAGTGACTTAATACCCTTAGTAGCCTTAAAGTGTTTGGCAGTCTGTTTTTGAGTAATCTTCACTGAAGTGACTTGATACCCTTTAGATTAGATGTTAATTTCCTTTAGATTAATGAAGGTGTTAGTAGTTCTGCCATTCTTAAACTTCCAGCCTGCCACACTAACTACTGTGTTGTATGTATAGAAATATGTATCTTTTAGAGAAGTAAGGGATCTCCTTCTAACTACACTACAAATCCCACCCTATATGGTGCCGCTAAGTTGAGAAATACTGTGGTGTCTGTCAATGCTGTATAGTTTGTTCTGAGATCTGCTGCACCTTCCAGATTATTTGTTCCATATGTCAAATGCATATTGAGCCTAGGTTTGTGCTAAGCACTATTATACTGGTTAGAAGGGAACAAACCAACAAGATACCCTTGTTTCGATGATCAGATAACATAAAGAAGATACAAGCATATGGAAGTTAATGGTAGATCACAGTAAGTGCTGTTAAGAAATATAAAGTTGTAGATGGATAGAGACTGGTATCACTACAGGAAATATGTTTATTTAAAATAGGAGTAGGCCCAGCTACTTGGAAGGCTGAGGTAGAAGGATCGCCTGAGCCCAGCAGGTCGAGGCTGCAGTGACCGTGAGTGTGCCACTGCCCTCCAGGCTGGGCAACAAGAGGGAGGCTCCGACTCAAAAAAAAAAAAAAATATATATATAGATAGATATATATCTATATATAGTAATAATAATAAAATGGAGGTAGGGTCTTTCCTTCTATATGATAAAAAAAAAAATTAGTCCCAAGGTGAGAAATCAATTAGCCATTTGAGTACTTAGAGGGAAGAATATTCCAGACAGAGGGAACTTGGCCTTTTTAATAAATGGCAAGCAGGTGAAAGACTGTTTAAGAACCTTGTATATCTTACAAGATAAAAAAATGATTAAAAATTTTACCAGCCGGGCTCGGTGGCTCAACCTGTAATCCCGCGCTTTGGGAGGCTGAGGTGAGTGGATTGCCTGAGCCCGCGGGTTCGAGACCCACCTGGGCAACTTGGCGAGACCTCATCTCTACAATAAATCAAAAATCACCTGGGCATGGTAGCGTGCGCCTGTAGTTCCAGCTGCTTGCAAGGCTGAGGCGGAAGGATCGCCGGAGCCCAGCAAGTTGAGGCTGTGGTGGCCGGGAGCAGCCACTGCACTCCAGTCTGGATGACAGAGTGAGACTCCAACTCAAAAAAAAAAAATTTTTTTTTACAAGAGGCCAGGTGTGGTGTCTTATGCCCAGCATTTTGGGAGGCTGAGGTGAGAGAATTGCCTGAGCCCACGGGTTTGAGACCAGCCTGGGCAACTTGGCAAGACCTCATCTCTACAATAAATCAAAAAAAGTAGCCGGGCGTGGTGGTGCATGCCAGCAGTTCCAGTTACTTGGAAGGCTGAGGTGGAAGGATCACCTGAACCCAGCGGATAGAGGCTGTTGTGGTCATGAGTGTGCCACTGCACTCCAGCCTGGGTGATAGAGTGAGACTCTAACTCAGAAAAAAATTGTTTTTACAAGGTAAAAATTCAAAAGTATAAAAAAAGTATTCTATGGGCCATTTTGTTAAGCTCTGGCCTGGCTATGCTTCTACTAAGCTGTGGTCCCCTCCCTAATCATGGAGGTGGATCCCCTTTTCTCTTTCCAATCTACTTTCTTTGTTTTTTTTTTTTTTTTTGAGTTGGAGTCTCTCTGATGCCCAGGCTGGAGTGCAGTGACACACTCCTGGCAGCCACAGCCTTGACCTGCTGGGGTCCGGCGATCCTTCTGCCTCAGCCTTCCAAGTAGCTGGAACTACAGGCAAGTGCCACCACACCCAGCTAATTTTTTGATTTATTGTAGAGATGAGATCTCCCCAAGTTGCCCTGGCTGGTCTCAAACCCATGAGCTCAAGCAATCCTCTCCCCTCAGCCTCCCAAAGTGCTGGGATTATAGGCGTGAGCCACTGTGCCTGGCCTTCCAATCTACTTTCTAAATAAACTATTTTCCAGTCTAAAAAAAAAAAGTAGTCTATGAAAAAAAGGCTCTTATCCCTGTTCAAGTTCTTCAAGGCAACCAGTTAACAAAAAGGCTCTTATCCCTGTTCAAGTTCTTCAAGGCAACCAGTTAACATACTTTTAAAATATATCAGTTTCAGATATTTTGTGTGTGTGATTTGCATACTAATGCAAATTTCAGAAGAGGGAATAAATTTAAATTGTGCTTACTTTAACAACTGAAAAACAGTCATTAAAACAATTTTTTTCCTGAGACCTAATATGCACCATCTTTTAAAACAGTTTTATGGATGGGCATGGTGGCTCACACCTGTAATCCCAGCATTTTGGGAGGCAGAGGCCAAGAGGATTGCCTAAGCCCAGGTGTTCGAGACCAGACTGGGCAAGTTGGCGAGACTTCAACTCTACAAGAAAATGAAAAATTGGCCAGGTGTGGTGGTCCACGCCTAAGCCCAGCACTTCAAGACTGTGGTGGCCATGATCATGCTACTGCACTCCAGTGTGGGTGACGGACTGAGACTCCAAATTAAAAAATATATATATATGCGTAATTCTACTGTACTGTTTAGCCAGTCTTTCTTCTAACTTTAATTTCTCTGTTTCTGCTCATTTTAAAGCAGTTTTAGTGTAGAGTACTTCAAAGATACCTTTGAAAATGTTTAGAAAATCTACCATGTACTTTTGGCACTGTGATTTTTTTTCCCCACGTAATACCTTCCTATCCTGTTATCAGCATATTGAGAGTCCTCATTTTATTGTACTAACTGTATATAACATTTCATTATATGGCTAGTTATAATTGTGCTAGTCTTCTATGTTTAGATGTTGAGAGTTTTTAAGTTGCTTTTGCTAAGGTTTTACCTTAATATAATTTCAACACCGTTACCTCTAAACACAGTCTGTTTCAGAATCCTGGTTTATTTCTAGAGGGTAAAAAAAAGTCAAACAATGAATGCAAAGAACTGCGGGGGTGGGGGAATCAATTTTGGTAGTAAGTATCAGTATAACACACTGGTTGTAGGTACAGAAGAAAGAACACAAATTGGATGTGATGGTAGAGTAGGTCTGATGTATGTTATTTCACAGCAGTGAACCAGGGACCCTAGATTGCTTCATTTTCATACAGGCTAAGTACTGGGTGAGGGCACAGGCAGAGATTAACTAGAAGGTTGTACTGCTATCACAACTGTGGTTAGTATTGATTTGAAGCCCAGGAATTGTGCATATTTGATGGCATAGAATTTATTAGAAAGTAGTACTAGGCTGGGTGCGGTGGCTTAGCCTATAATCCCAGCACTTTGGGAGGCCAAGGCAAGATGATTGCCTGAGCCTGGGAATTCAAGACCATCCTGGGCAACTTGGTGAGACCTGTCTCTACAATAAGTCGCAGAAACTAGCCAGGTGCGGTGGCGCGTTTGTAGTTCCAGCTACTTGGAAAGCTGAGGCAGAAGGATCGCCTAAGTCCAGCAGGTCGAGGCTGCGGTGGCAATGAGCATGCCACTGCACTCCAGCCTGGGTGACAAGAGTGAGACTTCAACTAAAAAAAAAAAAGAAAAGCACTATACAACTCAAAATATTTGAAGACTTACTATATGTCAAGAGTGATGGTAGGTGCTTTCATATCACAAGTAGCTCAGTTGTAACAGCATTGTTACAGGGGCTTTTTGTTAATTGCAAAGATGCAATTTTTGAAAGTTCTTTTTGCTCTTAGTAGAGTAGATAAATGTGTTTATAAAGACTAATATTTTGTTTGAGATTTTAAAGGAATAAAGTTATTTGAATTTTAAAGCTGACATAGATTGAAGCTCTGGGAGCTAGCACTTATTTTCAGTTAAGATATAGAGAATATAATCTCTTAAGACATGATTTTGGTTATTATGGCATAAATGTCTTGTTTAGTAGAAAAAGTGTTGAAAGTAAACGGGTGCTGACCTAAATCTCTGAAAATTGTCAGTTGCAATGGTTAAGAATTCATTTGCTTTGTGATTTTCCCAAAATGCTTTGTGAAAGCATTTTATTTATTTTATGTGATGAGCTAGCTTCAGAATCACCTAGATTTTCAGTGGGGCTGGTAAGCTGTAATGAAACTGAGATCCACGCTGGTCACATGACACAGGGAGCTTAGCTTAGTTTGCAGATCCTTCCCATGCCTCTGTAGTTTGGCCTGTATTCTATTAAAAGGCGTACAGAATGGAGGCATGTGATCAAAGGGACTAGAAGTCACCACTTTGTTATTGCCATGGTATCGTTCTTGCAAGCATTGATCTTCTCATTGTTTAGTTAATGAAGGCTTGCACGTAAGAGATTCCAGGCAACTTCTATGCCTGCTACATGAACATGGCACCTCTGGTAAAGAGATTCTCTTATCAGTCGAGAACAGACTTCTTGAACATAAAAATGTTGGAAATAATGTGTGTGTGTGTGTTAAAATTCCTGTTGCCTAGGATGGCTGTTAGTGGCCAAACTGTGTCCCCCAAAATTTGTGTGTTACATTCACAGCAGCAACGTATGAGACCCAGTTTCTCCACAGCTTAATCAGCAATTTGGTACTGTCACTTTTTTTGTTTTAACGCATCTTACATGTGTGTGGTGATATTATTATGTCTTTAATTTGCATATCCCTAATAGCTGATGATGTTGAATATATTTTCATGTGCTTGCCATCTGTATATCCTTTGGTGAAATGTCTGTTCATGACTTTTATCAGTT